GGGGCAGAGGCGGAGGGAGAAGAAGACTCCCTGCTGAGCAGACAGCCCGATACGGGGCTCTATCCCTGGGACCCTGAGATCATGACCTGAGCTGAAGGCAGGCGCTTAACTGACTGAGCCACCCAGGCGCCCTCCAAATGGGCCTTTTTTATGCCTGTTTTAAATTTGACCTTTCATCCTTCTGTTTGTATGCTGCGGGGGGCATTAGAATTGCTGAAAACGGGGGCAGCAGTTTAAGGAAGGAAAACAGGTCATGGCTAACGTGTCGCATGCGAGGGCTTTCACATCCCAAGTTGTGGGGTTGGCAGGCCTCTTTGCTCTGGTCTGGCCTCCCGTCATGCCCTGCATGCATCCCCATGAAAGCTCTTGCTTGCAGTATAAATGATCTGAAACAGGTGAAAAGTCTAAAAATATGAAAAGAATAGTTTCAGATTAGTTGTATGATGTGAAAAAAGTTGGCTTACACAGGTGATTAATGATGCAATAACAAGCAGCATTTCATCAATGAGCTTGCTGGTGGGTGGTAAGCAGAACAGCATTAATCCGTGGGCTTTCTCTTTATTCTCCCTTAGAGCTGGTATTACAAAGACTTAATCATCCCCACCCCATCATTGGAGACTAGAAATTATAGCCAAGAAAAAACATCACCTGTTAAATTTTGAGTACCCCCAAAGTCAAGTCTGTTCATTATGATCTTTTGGCAGTTTGATTGTTTCCTGCTTGTAGTTCAAAGTTAATGGGATTCCAGGGTGGTAGTTAGTGACCTCCACAACAGGTTGATGATTATTGCATTTTATCTTAGATTTGCTGTTACACAATCAAAACAGACCGGTTTTCTTTTTTTTTTTCAGTGAAACTAGCCTGAAGTGTTCGAGAGTACAATGGCAGGTAGTTGTCAATGTTGGGGAAGCAGCTAATAGACGACCTGAGCAAGTAGCATTAATATGAACTGATTACTTTAAAGAAGGGATCGATGACCATGTAGTGCATTGAGCGCCGGTCTGTGTCCCAGTGCGCATGCGCGCATGTGTTCTCCATCACATCAGTCGTTCTTGTGAATCCGTGCAGAAATCTGTACAACGGACAGCTTCATTTTTAGCTTTTGTCATCTTTACCAGAAGCATCTCTCCTGGCAATCCATGAATCAGTCCTTACTTCATCCCAATGCTGCTCGTGCGTCGTGCTCATGGATGAAGACAGCAGCTCTTAAACGAGATCGTTAATTCTCATCATATTTTCCTTCCAGCTCTTTATTCTCTACCTGGTGGAATGGAGCACGGTGAATTGGGCATTGCCGTGGGGACCTGCCCTTTGCACCCGGTTCTATCCACTGGCACGGGGTGACGGGCTTCAGCAGCGGCTCACCTGGTGGACGGTCTCTGAGGACTGGTGCCATGGTGTTGGGGGCCATCTGTGACCCCCACTGAGCCCTTACTCTTTCTGCCCTCCCTTATCAAGGCAAAGGCAGGATGTTGTGCTGTCTCTGCCTTACCTCTCGGGTCAACAGAAACTTCCCCCCTTTTTAAAGCTGATTTAAAGTTATTGAATTGCTCTAAAACACTCTAGGACAGATACGTGAGGCATTCCTTGATTTGCATTCTCAAGACCTGGGACCGGGCCTTGGAGAATCCTAATTCCATTTCATGTAGCAGGACACTCACGGGTTCTGGCAGCTACTTGCATATAACATCATTCATTCACTTGGTCAGTCACTGGATCATTGTTCATTCGTCAGCCCCTGTGCGCCTGGTACTGTTCCTAGGGCGGGGTGGGGACCTTCAAGTAAACAAAACAGGGGAAAGCAATCTAACTCACAGGGTTTACAGGCTAGTGGGGAAGATACAAAATCAATATAATAAATAGGTCACTTTTCCCCCTACAATATATTAGCACATCATAGATGTTTTGGAGAAAAATAAAGCAGGGAGAGAGGAATCAACAGTACCAAGGGGTGGAGACTTTGCACATTTAAATTGTGTGGCCAGGGAAGTCCTCATCAGAAGGTGACATTTGAGCAGACTCAAAGGAGGTTTGGGAGCTGCCATGAGAAATGAGTGTTCCTGGAAGAGGGCACAACCGGTGCAAAGGCTTTGAGGTAGGAGAGTGCCGGGAGATGTAAAATGCTGAATGTCGTGGTAGGCACACAGGAAGTACCCAGTGAATGGCAGGTAGTACTAGTTTTGCAATTGTTCTTAGTGCTCATACTAGGTTGCTGGGTATAAACTCTATAGGGGCGGACACTGCCTCTGTTTGTTTTTCCTTTTAGCATTTTTTCCCCAGATCTGGTATAGTTCATGTCAAATAATAAGACCTCAATCATTATGTGTTGAGTATTATCATTATACTTGTATTGCAAAGAAGCCTCGTGAAGTGATGGTCTTCATTGGCCTACATTTAATCCTTACTTATTTTCTGTGGCTTATAGAAATAGAACACTGACCTTTGGCCTTCTCCACAGGGATTGTGTCTTTGGTAGGATAATAACTTACTATCAAAGTTGTAGTGCTGTGTTGTGGCCAGAACTCTTGGCTGGGAGTCAGAAGATGTGACACAGCTCAGGCATCATTCTTTTGTAGTGGCTGGGATGGGTCACTCCACACCTCTGTCCTGTTTCTGAACGGTCATATGGGTTCAGAAAAGTCCTTCTCTATTTCAAAGTTGTTGTGAGCACCAATGAGATACTATACAGCGATGTTCTTTGAAAACTCTCCATGGCCACCTTAGAGGGAGGGGTAGGTGTCACCACGCCCGGTGGCCTTCATTGTGCAGATGGAAGCTGTGCTTTGCATTCCTTTCACGGAGGAGGTGCCTGTCTGGGGGCCGTGGCCAGCAGTGGGCTGTGATGGTGCAGCAAGAGCCTCAGGGCCTCTCTGGCCATCAGATAGCTGGTCTTTGCCTTAGGAACATTTCACTCGCAGCTTCACAATGGAGGTTTGGATTTCCCGAGTTAATTTTTGTAATCCTCTCTTCAGTGTATTTAAATAATTTAAACGTATTTTTCTGTTTTCAGGCCTGTGTTCAATGTCTTAATTTGTGACATCTAGGTCAACCTCAGATGTCATTTTAAAAAAAGTTGATCTCAGAAACCTGGCTCTATGTCCCCTTATCCTAGCTAATTAAAAAAAATAATAATAAATTCTCCTTCCTGTCAAATAATTCTTGAGGTGAGACCCATTCCATGAAGACTTCCTAAAAATAAATCAGAAACGAGATAACAATATTGTAGCTAAAAGAAAGCAGTTCACATCTGTCTCTCATCATGCTTTGCCTTCCAAATATCAGTTGATCTCTTTATTTTGTCAACACTTAAAAAAAAAAGCCCTGCCATGTTTTCTGTGTTCCTTGACTTGCTGGGAATAGTGCCATGAACATGGCAGATAAAGTCCCTGCACTCGCAGAGCTCACAAGTTTATGGGAGAAAAAAAAAGGATTATTTTAGATTTTGTAGGGAGGGAAGGCTTTTCTGAGGAGGTGGCAGATGAGCAGAGAACTTTGTGAAATGAAGTGGAGAGCCATACAAAGCTTGTGAGAAAGGCCCATTCGGGCAGAGGGCCCAACAGGTGCAAAAGACCCTGAGGTGGGAATGATCTCGGCAAAGTCTAGGGACAGAAAGGAGGTGAGGAGGGGAGAGTGTTAGGGAGGAGGGAAGAGGTAGGAAGGGGCCAGATCAGGAAGAGCTTTGTCTGACATGGAAGGAGTCTGGGTTTTACTTTAACTTGATAATGATTGTAAATATTTAAAATAATTTACAGTTTAAATATTTTCCTCAGATAATAGTCCATCTCCTTTTAACTGAGATTCTGTGAAGGAATTGCCAAGTGATAGCAGAGAACATTGTGGTATTTTTGGAGCTTTATTTTATTCAACCCCAAGTCCCTCAATATTCCTTAAGGAGTTTGTTGGAAATTGTCTGACAAGGATAATTAGCAGGACGAGAAGCTGTTTCACTCTGCAGAATTCTCTCCACGTGTGTTTATGTGTGAATTCATTTCAACCAGAGAAATTGAGGGTCTCATTTCTCTGTAGTCTATTCTTTACTGAATTCTATTTTATGATCAGCCCTGAGAAGCCTGGGGGTACATCAGATAGAGGTCTAATTTTCTGTTCACAGAAGCAAATGATAATTGAATAAAGCACCGAGAACACGTCCGAACCCTTTGAGATGTCTCAAGAGAAGCAGCTGATCATTTCCTTGTTTTCTAGCATGTCTCCAAGTCATAACAAATGGTGATTCACAGGTCAGCAAAAGACTCAGGGGTAGACATTTTATTTAGAAACATTGTCACAATTTAAAGACCTGTGAGAGAATTTTTATCTTCCATATCCAGCAGGGTGACATTTCTCTGTGATCACCCTCCAAAATAGGTAGAAACTTTCATAAAATTCTGCTTCATGTAAGTCTTCACCATGCTCTACTCTGGCTAAAATGGTCACGCAGGGCAATCATTTCGGAAGCTTTTAATTCAATAACATCCCCTTAAAAAGGGTTGTTCATCAGGTAGAAATTGGGAGAAACAGGTAAGCACATCTTTAGGGGACAAAAGTTAGTTGGGCAGTCCTTTCTCATAAGGAAACCTTACAAGGGTCCAGAAGGTGGAAAAGGAGATTCCAGCTGAGATCTTTAGTATCCTTTGTCATGACTGGTCGCTAAAAAAAATATCAAAGTTGGTATCTTCCTAATGAGCCTCAGTTTGAAATGTTTATGCCCTAGAAAATTCCTCTCAATAATGTGTTGCTGAAATCAACATTATTTAGGGGCTTGGGTTTGGGGAAGCTGTTCCCTAGGTGCGTTCTTGCTGGTTGCCTGGTATCTGCGGAAGGGTTAACGTTGGGATGACCTTGGGAGGCTCCCCCACGGACCGCACAAGTAGTTCAGGCCCTGAATACGGCAGGAACAGCGTTTGCTGTAGCAGCAGCTCCGAGACACGGAGCTAATTGCCCAGCAATGGCACCGCTCTTCTTACGAGGGACTAATTGACCCATTTATGGTCTCGTTTCAGCTCGTGGCGGATCCTTGCGCCAGCACCCCCTGTCACCATGGCAACTGCAGCAGCAGCAGCAGCAGCAGCAGCAGCAGCAGCAGCAGCAGCAGCAGCAGCAGCAGCGGGGGGGGCTACCTCTGCATTTGCCACGAAGGCTATGAAGGTCCCAACTGTGAACAGGCGCTGCCCAGCCTCCCCGCCTCCGGCTGGACCGAGTCCATGGCCCCCAGGCAGCTGCAGCCTGCCCCCGCCACCGAGGAGCCAGACATCATCCTGCCCCGCTCTCAGGCCACCGTGACCCTGCCCACCTGGCAGCCCAAAACAGGGCAGAAAGTTGTAGAAATGAAATGGGATCAAGTGGAGGTGAGAACGTCTGATTGCCTGCGTAAGGAGCCAGTGCGGTTAAAATAATTCCAGTGGTTCTAATATTGGCAATAAAAAACAGAAGACCTTTCAGTTGCCCCCTTGACAAAACCACGTGTCTACCTTTCTTCCCCTGGGCACTTGTGTGTAGGAGATCTCTTTTGGTTACACGAAGGAGACTTCAATTATGACTGTTTTGTGGGCATAGAAAGAGTAAGCAAGGAAAGAAAACGAATGAAGTTCTTTTCTGGAACGATACCCACGTTTCTGTGAGACAGTGTTGGATTGGGGGCAGACCCTCCACTGTTGACCAAAGTTTCCTTAATATTATGCTTAACTTCTTGTTCATTATTTGGTGCCTTGCTGCCAATATGATTTTAAAAAGAGATGCTATCAGTGATTTTTAAAATATTTTGAGAATGCATTTGAGAATGAAATTTCCAAATTTTATCTATTTTGGCAGGAACAAATGCTGTTTATTGAATCTCGTCCAGTCTGGGTTTGGCTTGTATTTTCAAGCTCATCGAAAGTCTCATGTCGAGGAATTTTCAGCAGACCCTTGAAAGTTGCCATACAACATAAATTTGCTAGCTAGGAGAGTTGGGGAACAAATCCAAATCATGACTTTGAGGTGACATCGATAGAGTGTAATTCCATTCCATATCTTGTATTTTATATGACAACCTGTGATCATATATTATTACTGGTTTTGTAGCTTAAATGACAAAACACATAGATCTTGTGTAGCAGTTTTAGAGTCAAGGAATATGTCTAGAAGTTTCCCTTATTGTTATAAAAGAGACAGGGCAGCATTTCTTCTTTTATTTTCTTGGGTAGTTCTAACCAGTTGACCCATTTTTTTTTTTCATTGCCACACAATTTATGAAGGCCATATTCAGATTGCAGGACAGTGTTTTCAGCCTACCTAAAAAACTGTGAATGTGTTCTGATTTCAGACTTTTAATAAACGCTTTGAAGTTTTGATTTGAACCTTCCTTGCAGAGTGACTCACTTCTTAAATGTGAACTAGATTTGATTCTACGTTTGTCAAGGAAGTGTCGCTTAAAGACAGTTTCTCCCCAACCAGCCATTGAAATCTATTTATTTAAAGACATGCTATCCTACTGTTAGTAAATGTAGAAAGAAATGCCTCATCTTCCCAGCATGCTATAATTTCTTAGGCTGTTCAAGAAGGAGGTTAAAAAGTCGCCAGGGGAAGATGGGAATATATTTGGGTTTCCCCTTTTATTGAGTAATGAGGCTTCAGAAACATGAAGCTCTTTGGAATGGCACGTGCAGAATGGCACGTTAACACAAACTGAACAGGTGGGACTTGCATTTTTGAATATCCGTGGCAGGCCTTCTTCATGGCACTTAACCCTTAGGCCTTCTGGACCGGAAGTTCTAAGTGTTGGGTGTGGGTGGAAGGGCCGAGAATTTCTGTATTGTTCTCAGTTAATTCACTGATGAGGGATACATTTAATACCACTTTATTTTGACTCTCCTGGGGGAAGACTGTGCTCATAGCACGAGGAATAAATGAATAAATTGGTCTGAACCACCTCACTTGGACACAGCTCCAGTGTTCACAGCATGTTTTCTGGAAGAATGCAATTATTCCCCCCCCTCTTGAGCCCCTTTTTTGTAGGCATCAGCATGTTACTTTTGGGAACGTGTCACTTAAAAAATGAAGGGGTAGTCCACGGGGTAAAAATAGGCAGCTTCCCAGCTCCTTGGCCTTAGACTGTGCTCCCAAGACCGACCTCTGCACGGAGCAGGGTCACTCAGACCAGGTGCTTCTTGCCGATTGCTCGTTCTAAGGCTTGCTTTCCTAGTTTATGCCTGCTGTGTGTAAGCCAGTCCTCAAAGTCTGCCTTCTTGTTCTGGAAGCATTTAGTCCCCCGTGACCCCAGACTGAGCCTAGAGCAGGGGCCAGTGACTGCTCGCTAACCAGAAGAGAGGACCCTATTCACCAGTGATAACAATCCAGGAATTGGTAGATGGCTCTCAGGAAAGCCTTGGCATTTCAGAAAATCAAATGGCAGAGCTTTAGTTTGCTTTTGAGTTTGTAAGGTTTCACTTGTCCCCTCTCTGTCTTCACCGCAGGGTCATCCAAAGCCTGCTCATGGGATTTTGCTTTGTAATATTATCTTGTATTATGATCGACCCCGATAATTTGTTTCTCCCCCACTTTCTTCCCCAGGTCATGCCAGATATTGCCTGTGGGAATGCGAGTTCTAACAGCTCTGCTGGTGGCCGCCTGGTATCCTTTGAAGTGCCACAGAACACCTCAGTCAAGTAAGAAAACCTGCAGCTAGAAACTGTTAAGCTCGATATGGTGTCCCTAAGCGGGGTTGTGTCCATCCATGTAACTGGTCAGTCTAGTGGGAATCATGAATGGAGTTCCATGTGTAGATGTGGCCTAAATCACTCAAAACCTAGAAGGACCTATTTCAGGGGAGAATATTGGAGTGGGGATCCAGCTGGGCTGGGGATGGTGAATTGTGGAATTGGATGGGATGAGTAAGGTGTGGGATCAGAAACCCTGAGGCCTTGGATAAGATCCAGAGCCAGACCCTTCACTTCCCAAATGACTTTTGCTTCCAAAATTCTTTGGCCTCTTATGATTTTAGTGGGCCATTGGTTAAATTCATGGGCACAGTTTAAAATGCAAACATTACAATTTTGTTTTTAAAAACAAGCGTCTGAGGAGAGAGTGTTTTGTTTGGCTTTGCTTTCAACTTAAGCTCTTTCAAATGACGTACTGCCCGCTGTCACTGGTGGGGATGGGGAAGAGGCAAGGGCTGAGAACCTGCTGTGTGTCAGGCAGGAGTGTGTGTGTGGGGGGGTGAGTGAGGGTGGGGAGTGGCGGGTAGAGCCAGCCCTGGAGTGACCCATTCCTGTCTGACAATTCCCACTGCTCAGCCTTTCTCTGTTGCTATTACCCACCCACCCCCCATCCCCACGCAACCAAATGGGAATTTGCTGGCCAATCTTCAGGGACTTTAGAGGGACACTTGACCCCGGTGAGCTAGTGCGCTGTATCAGCTCCCCTTAAAGGGGGCAGTGGGCACTATAGACCTCTTCCATTTATACAGAAGCATTTTTGCCCACCTTACCTTTTGCACAATGGAGCTGAAATGCATCCCCTCCCCTGGAGCCTTGAACTCACTCTGCTGGGGGGCGAGTCAGGATGGAGAGTGAACTCTGCCCAGGGAAGAAGGCCCCGTGGGGAGAAAGGTGTGGTCTCTGAGGCAGCTTCCACTTCTACCAGCAGGGGGACCCCGGTCCTAGTGTTTCACTGCTCAGAATACAGATGGAAGTTAAGAGCCAGCTTTAGGGAAATAAGGACCCATAGTTTCCTTTAGGTTTATGAAACCTTCTCCTAGCGCTTTCTCGTCTGGCTCATATGATCTGACTTTCATAAGCCTTCCCAAATAGTTCTAGATGCTTTTTGTTTTTTTACCCCGTCTCAACAAACTTGGAAGTTCTCCAAGACCCCCTCCTAGGCTGCAGGACTGGGCAAAATAGCAGGCTGACCCAGGCTGAGTGAGATGGAAGTGCCGAATAACCTCTGGGTGCCCTGAATTCACTTGTAAGGGTTGCTAGCCCTGAGACTTTCATTTATTCATGAATTCAACCTTTTAGCAAACCCCGATTGAACACCCTGCTGCAAGCCAGGAGCTCTGTGCGCCGAGTATGCTGATCTTCTCCTGCAGGTGGAGACCTGCTTCTCCAGGAGCACGGACAAAGGGGAGGGGCGGCTGCTGGGTGCTGGGAAGAGGGTCAGGGAGGGTCTCAGAGAAGAGGTGATCTGCGGGTTAAGCCTTGCAGAATGGCACGTGAACCAGGCGCATGAGTGTACAAAGGCTGGGAGCTGGGACAGAACGTTCTTGGGGAGGGACCGTAGCTCCGAGTTTGAGCTTGAAAGGCGAACTGAGGCCAAGGCCGATTTGCTTTCTAGCATCCCATTCTTTGATTTTACCCTGGAAACAAGAGAAAGGCCAAGAGAAGCCCGAAGCATGGGTCGTGACACACTGTCGCTCATGTGGGCAGCACAACTCGGGCTGTTTAGGGATGCATGACACATTTATAGTAGATTCAAGCAGGACTCCATACTGTGTGGATGCAGAAGGATTTGTCTCTAAAAGAACTCAAGATGCCCTTTTATTATTGATTACAATTGTTACGCAAAGGCGAATCATCTATTCGTGATCTCGTGGTCTATTTTTAAGCAAGTGGGAGACAGACCTTTGTAACGATTTCCCGAGACCTCGGTGGCTGCACATGTCATTTTATTTTTATTTATAAATTTGACGGACTAGTCCTAGGATGAATTTTTCTGAAAGGGACTTCTGGTTCACTCCATTCCTGTTTTCAGAATTCGGCAAGATGCCACTGCCTCGCTGATTTTGCTGTGGAAGGTCACGGCCACGGGATTCCAACAGTGCTCCCTCATCGATGGACGGAGTGTGACTCTCCTCCAGGCCCCCGGGGGCCTGGTCCTCTTGGAGGAGATGCTCGCCTTAGGGCATAACCACTTCATCGGTGAGTTACGGAAGTCTACCCAACAACACATCTGCTTCTGCCTTGATTTTGTGTTTAGAGAAGGTGGGGAGGGCGTTTTGCTCAGATAATCGGACTTCTAGACATCAACACTGTTTCCTCCATCTTAGGTGAGGTTTTACTTATGATCAAAACTGATTTCTAAAATTCACACTCGGTGCGGACAAAGCATGTGCTCTGAAATCCTGAGACTGTATCCCAGCTCCGGACAAAGCGACATGGATGTGTGACCATTGGTACTTAAAGCTCAAATCCGCTTTCTTTTTGACTCTAGTCTGCGTTCTCTAGGACTTGTGCGCAACTGGAGGCCCTGAATGTTGGTCTCTCAGGAAAACCCTGTTCTCAACTGAGTTAGGCCTGACCTAGGACCCTGGGCACAGCACCTCAGAAGCGATTTGCTACACCTGAGCCTGCGAATCACAAGTAACGTGAGGATTACGGCTCCTTTTGGGGCTCCTCTTCCCCACACCCACCTCTCCCTCCCTTTTGACTTTTCACTTTCCCAGATATACTTAAATCTGCAGTTTATCCTTCGCTATACTACCACATGCTCAATTAGCTGTCTTCAAATTCCTCTGTCCTGGAGTAGAAATGGCCTTCATAAAGTGAGCCATCCCCACCCCCACTGCCCCTGCTCCTCCCAAGGGCTACACCTAGACAGTTTCCAGAGGACCCTTCCCCTGGTTGGCATTCTGACGGCATCCTGCATTGTCTTCATCCCTCCTCCCAGCACGGAACATTTTTGGAGTTGGAACTTGTAGCTCCAGCCCCTAAACAGGCCCATATCATCAGTGGCTTTCTTAGAGCTTGTTGCTCACGCAGCCTCAACTCAGAAACACGAGCTCAAGTTCAGACTCCATCCACCCTAGTCATGTGCCCTCCAGGTAGCCCTCTGCATCCTGCTGTTAATGCCTCCTCCCGTCTGCTCAGATATTCCAACAGTCCTCCCCTGGAGGGGGGCAGACACAGCATTCGTCTCTCAGGGGTGTTGGGAGGGTTCAGCGTGATGACGGATGTGCAGGTGTACATTACAGATAGTTCAGGATGATTCCAGGCTACTTAGGGGACTTCCTCTGTTTTTTCCTGAGATACGCTAAATATTTTGCTAAATTAAATGGAAAGTATAGAGCAAGACACACTCTCTGAGATATATATTTGATGCAAATATCATAACTTAGATGAACCGATAAAAGGAAATGCTCAGTTTTATATAATTTGTATTGTATTTATACTTGGCCGACCCTTCTCTGATAAGAAGGCCATTTCTCAGTCGTTGGAAATCCCACTGTGGAGTGGGTTGGGGGGAGCAGGGATTTTATTGGGTGGAGAAATCAGGGTGGGGGCTGGACATATGAGAAAAAGAGGGCGGGGTTTTTAACTTCAGACGGGTGTGTGTCTGTTCAGATGGATGTTGGCTTACCAGCGGGATTTAAGACTGTCCAAGTCAAATCTAAATTTTACTCCCCCAAACATTGCAAGTAACTGTTATTTACTTCCATGTCTGTTGTAACAATTTATCTACAAGGATATAGTTTGTATATTTTGTTAAAAAGCTTCAATTTTATTTTGTATTGATTTTAAGTTTTCCTTTTTTAGGGCGTTAAACTGTCCCAGGACATGGAGCTAACATTTAGCAAAAATGTATATGCTATCACCAGTCTTTAAAATGTCCTTAGTGTCACCAGAGGATATCCGTTTGAAATGTTAGCTTACGTTTGATATTACATTTGGTTGTAACGTAACTTACAACTTCAGACTGATGTTGGGGGTAAAGAGGGAGATCAAGAAAGAAGGATTTTCTAGCATTGATATAATTTTATACTCTTGAGATACAAGGAATTTTATGAACTCCAACAGAATTTGCACTCGTTTTGCTAACAAAAAGAATTTCATGGAAAAAATTGTATATTGGGTTCAAATGTATTGCTACTCGGAGGAATAATTTCTAGAAATTTAATTTGTTATATTAATAACTAGAGAATTTTTTTCTCAAAAATTATATTCAGGGTATGACGAGGAGACAATGATTTTGAGTAACATCCTTTCTTTCTCTAACCCATTATTTCCCATTTGGAAAATTTGTGATCTGATGTCTTTTTAAATTTCCTATGTTGAAAATTTTAAGTGTTCTTTGCGGCTTTGTATTGGAGCGCACAATCTTTCAGTGTTAGTCTTTTTCAAGGTAGGGGACAGTCTCGTCACAGGCTCCTTCTGGGGAAGAATGGCTAGCTTCCTCCCAATGCAAGATTGGCTACAGCCAGACGCTGCCACACCGACTTCCTTTATGAGGTCTTTTATCTCAAAGAAACGAGATTTATCTTTTATAACCATCATGGACGTCTTATGCTTACTACATTGACACGTGCTTCATGCTCTTTTCGTTAAATGTTTTTTTAAAAGGCAGCTTCTTAAGATGATTCCTTTTTACAAACCTGGGCTCTCTAGACGTGAATACAGTTTAGCTCAGAACCAAAAGACTGTTCTGCGGAGTGCAGCAGCCTTCGTTTGACAGATGAACGAAGGGAGGCCAGTGTGGGTGGGAGGAAACTTCCACGCCAAAGGGACTGTAAAGTTCCAGAGTCGTGGTGCTGTGTTTTAGTCACTTCCGCTCCCTTCTAAAAAGAAAGGCACTTGCAGGAATTGACTGTCCCCTCTCTGTGCCCTTCCTTCTCGATGGGTTCCACATACACAATATCCAAAGGTATTTTAATATTTCTACGCAACAGAACAGAGGAGTCCCTTCTGTGTCTTTGGGAGATAAACTTGGTCACTGTCGCCTGCTTTATACAAATATTCTTTTTAAAAGTTTATTGCCAAGAGCCTGTGAATGTTCTGCATGTTCCAGATGACGATAATGTACTTGTATTTGACCTATTTCAGTGACACTCCGTTGGGTTTTTAAAAACAGTTTCCCTTCATTGCCATTGCCTTATGAATATTTATAGCCTTTCATAGAAAGAAAGAAATGATAAGATATTTCACGAAGCGTGTAACCCTCCTGTGCCTCAGTGCGTCCGCCGCTTTCCCCCTGTGTTGTCATCCAGCTGCCATACTCCTGGCCTTCTCCTTCATCATCCCCTCGGCTTTTCCTAAATATGCTTCTTTCAGCTATGTTACTTGCTTTACGCACTGTTTTGAGATCAGTAACTAAGTTGACCTTTGTGTAGTGTTGTCTGCTCTGTGGCTAGCAGCCAAGCAAGGAACCTGAGCCCCCTGAGTGATTTATCCGCCCAACGGTTCCTGTCCCTGGATGGGAAGGATGCATGGTTCCAGTTGCATTTCTGTGACAAGCAGTTGTCTGTCTTCTGTGAGGTATTTTTTTTTCTTCTTTTTTTTACTTGGAGTTGCTTGGACACATTGCTCTGATAGACACTGTCAGGGATGAGGGCCTGCTGTGTAGCCTCTGTGTGAGAACATTTCCTCAGGGAGAAAACCCCGTTGAACTCCATCTGTAGGCTTTTCTTTCTCTGGTCACCTGCCTCTAGGCGTAGCTCCCAGTACTTCTCCTTGGTGAACTCTGTCTGCCCACTGCCTGTCCCCTCCCAACCTGGACCTCCCTTACTTCCCCATCTTCTCCAAACCTCAGCCCCCCCACATCTGTTCCTCTCCAAGACCTCATTTAAACTCTCCTGATTTGGAGTGCTTTAGGAGAAAAGTGGCCAGCCCAAAATTCTAGTCTACCTGGATTCTCAAATCCTCTTAAATTCTCTTAAATTCTTCCAGACACACAGACAACCCTGGAATATTCTCATAGTTCTTCTTTTGATCAGAAGGCCCAGGTGGGGTATATCTGCTTTACCCATACTTTTGTTGACCTGCCTGCTCAGAGAAACCCCGCATTTTCCTTCATACTTCTCTCTTTTATAATCCATATCTGTTGTCACCTCGATCTGCCATTTTCTTTCTTTCCTCATCTTCAAAATTATTTTTGCTTCGATGTAGCTCATTCTCTTCTCCATTCTTTTTTGATGGCGGTCTAGCTGCTCATATTTGCCCTTCTGTCTTCCCTCATTGTCTTCTCCTGCCTCTAAGCCACGATTTTTTCCTATCACCTTTCACCGCCTTTGTATCATCCTTTCTTGCAATTTTTAGTACATTTTTAACATCTAATTTATCTCATAAAAATAAGTGCATTTTTATGTTTAATCCGCACCGGTGGTATTTCATTTGCGGCCTACGAAAAAGCTGCTCTTAGGGCTTGAGATCTGCTTTAACTTCACAAAGAAATGAGTGGTGTAGCATGTAGCTCATAGCAGTGCCCTTGGAGGAGCTGGGCTCGCTTCTTCAGGATTACAGCTACTAAATTAGCTGAGAACCCTAGAAATAATGACTTCCATGTCTTTGTAATGGATGTCTTAACTAGACTAGAAATTTTCCCATTTTGCCTATGACCCTTTTGTGCCTCCTGGGAGCTGTAGAGCGCTTTAAGTTGCCTTGATTCTATATTTTCAGCTTAAAAAGATTCTTGTCTTGCAAAATGATTTCTAAAGCAGTGCGTTCTCTTTATTTTCTTCTCTTGACAAATAAGGAGGCACAACGCAGTACTTTAGCAGGTGCAATGAAGGTTGAGACTTTTCTTTTCCTTTGGTAAGAAGCTTCACTGGTGTGGTGGTCCTTCACAGCCTCAGTTTAGATCATTACGGACTTAACTGATAGATTTATCCTCACTGACATCACGATGTTTCCTTGGAGATAAAGTCTTTTGTAGTCTAATAGTTTATACTGACTTTAAAAAAAAAAAACAACAGAATTTTTAAAACACAACCAACTGATGCTTTATTCCTAGGCAGAAGTTCCTAATCTGGGCTCAATTGGACCACGATTTTATGGCGGCCGTGGGGTTCAAAGGTCACTTTTCGAGAATCCCACGAATATCCTGCACTGGAGACTTTTATGTGTTTGTGGCCAAAAGTTCACTGGATTCTCAAAGATATCTGAGTCCCCAAATTTTAGAACCTCCACTTTAAGCTATGCACATGATC